GGATGATGTGGTCCTGTTGGCTTCATCGGAACGAGATCTGCAGCTCTCGCTGGAGCGGTTCGCGGCCAAGCGTGAAGCGGCCGGGATGAGGCTCAGTTCCTCCAAATCCGAGGCCATGGTCTTGAGCCGGAAAAGGGTAGAGTGCCTTTGAATGCATGTATGCATGGATGGATGGATGGATGGATGGATGGATGGATGGATGTTTTTTTAATAAAATGAATTAAAACTATAATAAAGTAAACAGAACATGACCTTCTAATGGCAAGTTTAACTTAGCTTTTAGCTACTGATTACTTATCTATTAGCTACTGCTTTGCTAATTTAATCTTTGTAGCTCTCATGTTAATTTTAGGTTTTGATTAACTATTTTTTTCCTCTAACTTTTTTAACAATTCACTTTCAGCTTTTTTAAAAGTTTTGACACTCATCCAGCATTAATTTAAGAGAAAATGTTTCTTCTGTTTGTCCATTTGAAGCTCCTCAACACTGTTTGCTTTTAAAAACAGTCCCAATGAGACGAAATACAGATTACACAAGTAGGTAAATGTCAAAATAAAGAAAAAGGAGAAGTAAAGATGAGTTGCAAAAGTTGTTTAGAGGACATTTGTCASCTTCTCTGAACCGTAAATGTAAATGAGTGCTGGAACATGTACCCATCTCACAGTTGTACAACACAAAGTGACAACATAAAGTGACAAGAGGAGATTCTACAACATCCTGGGTTAAACATTGTGCTCACAGAAAAGCCACAAGGTTACAGAGTCCAAGTGATAACAGGCGCTCTATTGTCTGTTAAATCAATGTCCCTGCAGCAGTGCAACTGTTTCAAATTCAACCCAAAGACCCAAAGTTGTCCCTGTTTTTACAGACCCACTATCAATGCTGCTGATGTCATCACTCTACAGGTATGAGCTCTGAGGCCGTTCAGACTCATTTAGAAGAAATGAATAAACACTTACCTACCTTCTGTGGAGGCCTTGTGGCTGATTGTTGGACTCTTCTCGGCTCACTTCGTGTTTGCAGCCCGGTGTTTGGAGGAGGACAGTGGTCCCCTGTGTGCCGCTGCAGTTTGAGGAAGCCTCACTTCTCACTCGTCTCCACAGAGAGTGTTTGAGCGGAGACCAGCCCACAGAGGGCTGAGCAGATGTTTCCACATTCAGTCTGACACACACACGAACTGAACTGTCTCTTCTTTTTCTATTCACACCGTTTTGTGATTGGCAGGAAAACTTGTCGGCTTCTTTCAGTGTGACATTTTAGCAGCTCCAGAGAACAAAAAGTTTGAACAGTTCTTTGTCAAAATCTCTTTTCTGCTTTAGTTTTCTAGTGTTTTAGTGTTTTGCCTGTGTTTCTCTCATTCCTCCAGCCCCACCCATGCTCACCTGTTTCCTCTTGTCTCCTCCAGGTGTTTCTCATTTGTCCTCATTAGTTTGTATTTGGTGTCTTGTCCTCAGATTGTATCTGATCTTTGTGCTGTTTCCAGCCAGTGTGGTGTCCATTGTGTTCATTGTGCCTCTGTGAGTTCTGCTGCCTTGACAGCTCCTTATTTTGGTTTAAAATAAACTTTATTTGACATTTTTGGATTTTGCCCTGGGTCATTCTGACGACACACCTCACATTTTTAAAACTGAGTTGGAACTGGACTTACTTGTTAAGCAATATGCCTCTACTAATCAGTGTGCATTGCCAGTGCAATGCACACTATTGTGATTCGTTTCCCATCCAAGTCATCTCCACTTTGGCACACTTCTCCTGCATACTTTG